GTTAGCAGTCGGGGCGTGTGAAATTGCAATTAGTACATGCTGACGTTGATCAGGTTGGATCCTATCTTCTGGAAGAAAGCTAACGGTACAGATGAGGATGTTTTACTTGCTTTATGTAAAATATTAGCTCCGTCGAATCGGTTTCTTATCATTATCGCGAGTAGCAGCATGACACAGTTTACACCTCGTTAGATCTGTTTGCCGGTACGCCTCAAACAACGCTAAATTATCTTAAGCAATTGTCTCCGCCAAAATGATTTTCAATCGGAACTAATAATTTCAGCATGAAAATAACAATTTATTGAGTAATTGTTAGTTTATTAAACTGAAACAATTATAAACTGTTGAATGCTTAGAGTTTTTTGAAGTTAGTTTAGTCTACTACATAAAAAAGAAGTTCCTAGAACCAACTCTCTGAATAGTTAGCGTGTTTGCTATGGACCCGTCTGACTAGACAAAAAAAAACAGAACAAATTTGATTGGTTTTTTATTGCCGCTTCGTTGTTATTTTGTTTTCTATCGACCGTGAAAATAAAAAGTTGCCTGAAGAAACGAAAGAATCAATGTAGCCAGTGGCAGGGCAAAGAGGTCTTCTGTTGTAAGCAGCTTTTGTATTAGAAGTTTGACTATATTTTATATTAATAATTACTTTTTTCAGCTGCTGACTTGACTACCTGCTGGACAGTCACCCCGAAAAACCATCTGATTGGATTGGTACAGGCCCCTTACAACGATGTACCATCATGCACTGACTACTGCTTCAAACTCAAGGATTGCTATGCCGTTGATTTCGACACAAACACCAACCCGAAGTGCTGGGTCCAAACTTCTCCTTCGGTTGTTCCGGATGTCAGAAACTTGTTTCCAATGGAGACCGTGTCACCAACTACATTCTGAACAAGAGCTGCAAAAAATAATGAATGAAATTAATAATTTAATTAACTCTCTATCAATTGAATATTTAAGAACTACCTTAGAAATTAAACGGTTAACAGGTTTTCAATTAATTAATTAATTTATTAATTTTTTGAAAGTACAAATTAATAAAAACATTCTTTAAAACACTTAGTTGTAGTTTATTCTCAATTTCAAATTAGAAAATCAGTAAATAAATAAATAAATATCCCAAAAAGTATGAGCAAATAAATTTAATCGATACAAAGTTAATTGCAAAATCGCAACGCATTTTATCACCAGAAAATTTTTTAATTCACTTTCACTAAGCTATTATTAAATTTTTCAATTAGCATTGTTTACATCAAAACAAATGACATTGACATTGACATTGCAAGGGGCTGCTCGCCTTGCTACCCTTGCTTACTTGCCAGGGCCGTCCCAGCGAACCCATTTTAAGATGGAACATTTCCAAGCACTCCTTAATATAAAACAATTGAAAACAACATTAGTAAGAACTTTGAACAACAATATAAATCTAGATAAAATATAATGGGAATATTTTATTCTAACCACCCATTCATTAAAGCGCATTCGTAACAGCGTACAAATTGTTAGTTAAAATGAAAGATTTAATGTAGAAGACTAAATAAATAAAAAAGTGTTTCTTTTGTATAAAATAAATCGCTAAGGTGCATAAATTTCAGTCAAGGTGAATAAATAAGTGATTTTTAATTCACATTTTAAAGTTTCTACTCTACTGCTGTCCATGCAACGACTCTTCATCGTCTCTGATTTGTCAAACAACGACGGAATACATAGGAACAAGATTTTAACAGAAATCATATGAAAACATAAGTTTTCATCATTTTAATAACATTTTACTGCAACAACTGATAATAAAGTTCGATGACTGCTGGTTTTGAACTGACTCACTACCAACTAAGTATTTGTTTGGAGTAAAATTACAGTCAATGATTAATTTTTTTATTCAAGTAGATGA